GTGTGTGTGTGTGTGTGTGTGCATGTGTGTGTGTGTGTGTGTGTGTGTATCGAGCTTGTCAGCAAGCCCATCAGCCATGACTTGCTGGGCCATCCCTGGCCCTGTCATGTTATTTATCAAATAAAGTAAAGCAGCAGGTAAGTTTTCACTTGTGTCTACAGCTGTGTGACCACCCCAGGCCGGCTCTGGAGGGTCAAACCCTCTCCACAGTAAGAGGAAGTGTTCTCAGCAAAGGACACAGCACAGTGGGTGTAAACACGAACCCAGTGTGACCGGAGCTCAACACAGACACCGAACAACTGTTTCCTCTGAGAAACTGAAATGGGATTGTTTTATCTATGAGCTTAAAAAAAAATCTATTTCACCAGGTATTGCTGGCTCCCAGATCACAACCTTAGTGGCTGGGGATCGAGGGTCACAAGATCAAGGGCAGCCTGGGCTGCAGAGCAAGCTTGAGGCTGGACTAGTTTGCAGGAAGACCCTGCCTCAAGTTTAATGAATGAATTAATTAAAATTCTATCCCTGCCCAGCTCAGATCTGTCTCCTGAGAAAGAACAGAGGTGACTCTGTTCTGTGCCCAGAAAATGGGAATACTGAATGCTAAATCTTCTTGGGGGATTTAAAACAAAACAGGAAGTTTAAGATTAGAAAGAAAAGACAAGCATCTTTCCCAAAGGGACGTGAAGAGGCACAGCTCACAGCTACAGCGGGAGCACATCGGAACCCAGGTCCCACGGCTTACTAGGCAATATAAACGGGGTCCGCACTTAGACGGCTGAGCTCCAGCCACACCGCCGCACTACGAGCGAACACATCCACCCTACTCCCTTCTTTCCTAGGACTCGGTGAGACCGGAGAGGAAACTACACGAGAGCTCCTTGGACAGTGTTCTGCAGAGGGAAGCGGCGATCTCATGATGAAAACGGACTCACAGAGACTGTTCTTGAAGGTGTGTTTGCCCATCTATGGCATTCTGCTAAAGGATATGAGAGAGGGAAGAAGCACAAGACAGGGCTGCTGTTTGCAAAGAATTTACTGTTTGCCCGGGTGGTGGCTCACACCAGCACTCCCAAGCCACAGGCGGCTGAGGCAGGAAGAGTGTCTTGAGTATGAGACCAGCCTGTTGTACAACAGTGAGTTCCAGGGCGGCCTAAGTGAGCTATAGGGTCAGACCATGTCTCAAAAACAAAACTCTAGGACTGCAAGGATGCTGTACAATCGCAAGGACCAGCGTTCGGATCCCAACATGCACATAACAAGCCAGGTATCCCCCACTTACTGTACCCTCAATTCTGAGGGAGGGCAGAGAAGGAGGGTGCCTGGGGCCTGCTGGCCTCTGGTCAGCTAAGGAGATGCAATCGGGAGACTGTCTCAAAGGCACACGGAGAATGCCACAGGACACCTGACGTCCTCTTCCGGCCTCCACATCTGCACCTGCTCACACATGTGTGCAAATACACTGATACATATGTCTCTCTAAAATGTATCTAATTTAAAAGGAATGCTAAAACATTTTAAGATAATTAGCAATATTGTATTGTATTTTGTCACTTTTTTCAAAAGTGTAGGCATAAAATTTTTAAGATGTAACTCTGCAGTTAAGAGCTCTTGCTACTCTTCCAGAGGACCCAGGTTCCTGGTTCCCAGGGCCCATGTCAGGTGAGTCATAGCCCCCGATAACTCCAGTTTGCAAAGGATCCAATGCCCTCTGGCCTCCAAGGGTACCCAAACACATACAGCATACACCACATAGACAAATACACAAAATTTTCAGAAATACAATTATAAAAAATCTAATTCTTTTTTGTTGTTGTTTTGGTTTTGTTGTCATTATTGTTGATAATAATGTTTTTGGAGACAAGGTTTCTCTATGTATCCCTGGCTGTCCTGGAACTCACTCTGTAGACCAGACTGGCCTCAAACTCACAGAGTTCCGCCTGCCTCTGCCTCCTGAGGGCTGGGATTAAAGGTGTGCACCACCATCGCCCAGGTAATTCTTTCTTTTTTCTAAAGGACTTGGCAAACTAAGGTCTGAGATCTAGATGCCTGCCACCTCATTTGAGCTTTTCTTGGCATGCAGCCATACTTACTCCTTTATTTATGTACCACACACAGTGGAAGCGATGGGCAACTGCATCAGAGGTCACAGCATCTCGGGACTAAATTATTTACTACTTAGCTCTTTACAGAAAAAGTCTGGTAACCTCTGCTCTAAAAGTCCAAGGAGGGAAGCACTGCTTTAATACTGACTTCCAATATGTAGCTTTTTACTTCCTAAGCGATAGATACCTCTGCGGACAATGAACTACCCGCCTAGCAGGGTGAAAACTTTCAAATCACACTGCCAGGAAATAGCAATAGAGTATCGTGTAGTCCAGGCTGGCGTGGAACTTGCCTATAACTGAAGATGGCCTTGAACTCCTGCTCCTCCGACCTCCACCTCCAAGCACTGGGATTACCACACCCACTTCGGTCTCTAGGTGTCATTTCCGACTAACTGTGGGTTAGCATATCTTCTCTGTGTGTATTTATAAGTTCCTAGTGACTGCTTGACCTCATCACTTCCTGTTCCATCAGAACGGCAGAAAAAACTTAAAACATAATAAAATCTTATCATTCATTTCTAAGATATAGTGAAGACTATTTGGAACAAACTGAACAGACCAATTTGTTCAACTGTTAAAGGGGGAGTTTTCAAGTGACCGTGTGGCATCCAATCTCACCGATTACAACAAAAAGGATCTGCATTTTCCCTTGGGAAACACTGCTTGCTAAACTGGCAACTCAAAGTGTGGCTTCTGTGAAACTAATAACAAAATTCCCATTAGAAATACTTATCTAGAACAGTGAAGACCAGAGGCACTACGGTTAGTAGCCCTGGCCGCTCTCTGCACGCCAGTACCACTGAGTAGTGCTAGTTAGTGCAGCTAGTAAACCCTGAAAGCCACGCCCAGTCGGGTCCTTCCGACTCCAGCTTCTCCTGCCAGCATTCTCCACCTGTTTCTGGTTTAGATCGTCACATGACTGCACCCAGACACCAACACTTGTCGGAGACAGGTACGGAGGCTGATTCACATTGATGCAATCGAGAAGCAACTGCCCTGCCGTCTCCATCACACAGGAAACGGCCCTAAGGACAGCACAGCCTGGTGCCCAGCCGCGGCAGCTCTTGGGTAACGTTGGGTGGAGGAGCAGTACCCCTCAGTGCCCCTCTGCAGTCCTTTAAAAACCTCTTCTCACTGCCCACCCAGATCCTGGTTAGGTTCATCTCAACGCTGAAAGCCTGGCTCTCCTTCACTGTGGCCAAGCAAACCCTAAGGGTTCTGGGAGGCCACTTATCACTTCTGGCTCTAATCCTGCCGTAATCTTTTCTTACCCACCTTCTGGGACCCACAGTGAGCTTGCTCCTCGGTTCCTTTGGTAACTAGTAAACGGCGCTGTCTGTGTTTTGTCTTAACTTTACTTTTTAAACCTGTAAAGTTTACAGTTACTAATTTCTGTATGTTTCTGTCTGCATCTCTAACATACCAATGTAAACCTCTTCATGGGAGAAATCATAGTATACACTTCTGTATAAATCCTGCTCACAACGAAAGATCAATGCCGTGGATAAAGAACTCAATAAATATTTAGCTAATTATTCAAATAAACTCCTGTACGGGGTGCTAAATGTAGAGGCAGTAAGACGACGCCATCGCTTGCAGTCCTTTCCCAAGGCACTTCCCCGTGTCCTGCTGGGCATTAAGCCGAGAGTGGCCATAAGCCAGCTATGACCCCACATGTCATCTGACAACCTCTGTTAGGACCACAGGCCCGAGAGAGGGCTGTGTGACTTCACAACCACAATGACCAGAAGGCTCTGAGGAGAAGACATGAGTCACACACGTGGCTCTTCCCATGTAAGCCCCAACCGTGGTCTATGGCAGAACCGTTCTTCCGCGGCTACTTTGATGCAGGAGACATTCTGACATTTACAAATGGTTTACAGCCCTATAAAATGAACTTTAAATATACAGCTTTTCTTCATCACAAAACAATGTGCGTAGAAGACAACCCTAAACCTCATCACAACCCCGACTGACAGTTTGTAAATACTAAAGCTATGTGCAGGTCCCAGGAACAGTGTCTAGCCAGGATCCCAAAACTCAATCCAGTCCTTACATCTCAAACAGTCTAACCTACTCCCAACAATGCTGGTCTCTCTCTGATTTACCGAGTCTTCCTACCTCAGGAAGTCCAAAACTGGGGCAGGTACAGACTGTGGACCATTGGGGAGCAGGGCTTATTTTGTCTGGTAAAGGAAACGCCTCCTCTCAGGCACGCCTTCAGGTGGAACCCTTTCTTCTGGCCCCATCTTCATGAAAGAAAATGGGCTAAGACAAAACTCCCACGAGCAAGCCCTGCCTGTTAGCTGTCCCTCCGCTCAGGCAGAGGGGAAGAGTGCGCCAGACCTTGTCTTTTCTAGAACATTCGGTCTTTGGATAGCTACGACGGCAGCTTGGGAGCGAATTTCAGGCCTCACCCTGGACGGACTAGGCCAGAACTTGTCTTGGGCGGGGGAGGTCATGGAGGGAAGTGTTCCTCTGACTAAGACACATGTGAGGTGCAAAGCCAGGGTTTCAACCATCGATGTCCAACAGGGCAGCTACGAGCCATGTGTGTGACTTTTATAATTAGTTAAGATTAAATGAAATCTAAAGTTCAATGCCTCAGCCTTGCTTGCTTTGTCTTTGAGTGCTAAGCTTCTAGACATGGGACCGGTGAGATGCTTCAGTCAGTAAGGGCACTTGCTACCAAATCTGACGACCCCAACTCCATCTCAGGAACCCACATGGTAGGAAAGAACTGAAAGCTATACGCCATCCTCTGACCTCCACACATCCGCTGTGGCACATGCATGCGTGTGTACCCATGTACACACATATACTCACACACATAAATAAATAAATAAATAAATAAATAAATAAATAAATAAATAAATAAATAAATAAATGTGAGTTGATTTCCACACATCTGCTATGGTACATGCATGAGTACCCACGCACACACATATACTGACGCACGCGCGCACACACACAACAAATAAATAAATGTAAATTAATTTCCACACAGGCTGCCCTACTGGACAGCAAAGAAAAAGAGCACTCCCCCCTCATGCAAAGCTCCTCCCACAGCACCAAACACAGAGCTGTCCCGCTCTGGCCACTGAAACCTACACATCAAGATTATAAAGAAATGGTGGCGCACACCTTTAATCCCAGCACTCGGGAGGCAGAGGCAGGTGGATCTCTGTGAGTTCGAGGCCAGCCTGGACTACAGAGTGAGTTCCAGGACTGCCAAGGGTACTACACAGGGAAACCCTGTCTCGAAAACAACAACAAAGAGCAGGGAAAACTGGTACTGGATTTTCATGCAATCCAGACCAAGGCTCTTTCTCTTAGAGCTGGTGATTCATCAGGTCCCACCAAGCCTCATCATCCCAGAGCAAACTGGACCCAACCTGGTCCTTCCCCAAGTAGCTCTGTACCAGGAAACAGGCTGAAAGGTTCCCAAAGGCCATCCCTCTTCATAAGCAGGCGCATCAGTTGCAAAGTAAACTGCTAGGAAAATAGTGTTTGGCTTCCCTGCTGGTTCTGAAGACTGCAAAGAGAGCTTTGAAAAGACATCTTATCAGAACAAAGGCTATTTTACTGATAACATTCTTTGAAAGATGATCCTCAAAGTTTATCATGTGTTTAGGTTTAGAGATTAAATGTCACCTAAAGGTCATCCGTAAAAGCTGGTGTCTAGGGCAGGCCGGTTTTGTTGTTGTTGCTGTTGTTTTTGGGGGTGCTATGGACATTAAGAAGTGGGTCTGGCAAGAGGTTTCCAGGTCACAAGGCCTCAGAGGAATGCAAACCTGGTTTTTCCTCCACTCCTCTCAAGACCCTGCCGCTGCGTTCACCACGTGCTGGGCAGGTGCTCACACTGAGTCTGCACTACTCCATCTGGACTCTGACCCTCCAAAGCAGGGAGCTAAATAAGCCTTATCCAGGTCACCTGCTTCCTGGGGAACTCTGCTGTGCCAACAGTTTACTAACACAGTGTGTATTCAAACCACGGAGGTTTGCCACCACACAGACTGCTGGGTCCCACTGCTGGGTTCAGATTCCGCAGGTCCAGGGGAGATTCAGGAGTCTGTATTTCTACCCCATCCTCTCAAATGGTGTTGCTGAGGCTCAGACTCAGCATCAGTACTGGGAAGATCCCGAACCTTGTTCAAGCACATACCATGGTGCCAGGCAAAAGTGCCCTTTCAAGGAAAGCAGGCTGGAATAAGACAACAGGAATAGCACTCTTCACCTCTTTTCTTCATCAGATACACCAGAGAATCACAAGAGCAACACTGGCAAAGGAAGGGGTGAGCACCATATGGTCTTTTATTTATAATATATAATGTGGCAGCTGGGCCTTCATTAGCTTTCCCTCACATCTCAGAGAAGTGGCTTGCATTTTTACCTGCCCACTTCAAAAACCCTCTGAAAACCAACCTAGACAGATCTTTTCCTTCCCCAGAACTACTGAAGCTGTGGTCAGCCTCCCATGATTTCAACTGTCCACTGGGGTCTTCATCTCCATTTACACTGATCCTTCTGGAACCCTTTGTTTTAGCAACATGCTCTCCTTACATCTTTCCACTGCCCTGGTCTCCACCACTGCTCTGGTCTAACAATATTCTCAGTCTCCCTCCACAGTTATTTAAGAAGCTTAAGGGAGGGACTCCCAAAGCCTCAACCCCAGCTGAGAAGCTACTGGCAACTGATGGCTGAAGGGGAAGGCCATCCAGGGAGTCAATTTTCTTGGGTGCAATGGATCCTGTTAGGATGCTTGGGCTCCAATGAATGGTCCAGCACCTTGTGCGTGCAGGCAGCTCTAAATGGACTCAGTGAGGACTCAAAAGACAAGAAGGTACAAGGGGGACGTGTTTGGGGACCAGAAGGAGAGGAAGAAGGGAGTGGGGACAGGTATGATCTAGATACACTGCATACGTATATGAAATCGTCAAAGAATGAAACAATATTTTTTAAAAAAATCTGCTGTAATCCTCTGTATTTCTGTCATTGAGAACTTTACCTTACCCCAGTCTCTCTGAATACTCCCATAGTTCACTTCTGCATGTGTTTCATTGCGATGTTATTCCAAAACTAACATCACTCTTGAAAAAAAAATTCTCAAGGGAAAATATCTGCCCATGGTATTGAGTAAGGAAAGAACCCCCCTCCCCCAGCACAGGCTGAGATCTGCTCAGAGGGGATGGGGAGGAATGCAAATGTCCTGGTTCCGGAATCCTGCCTGCTTCTCTCCTTTTCCATAGTAACAGGAGATCTTTTTCCTTAGCATCCTAAATAGGGTAGAAGAACAATGCAAGTAGATTTCAGTATCAGCCCACAATCTGTGTACCAGGGAAGGCAGTAAAAAGGTACAATACCTTTTCAGTGGGCACAAGGCCGTCAAGGGTAGAGACTAATCTAGAAATTGCTTTGCACTAGAATTGACAGGAAAGAAGTCTTAGACCAGTATCTGCCTATGTGTGAACACTGTGTGTGTGTGTGTGTGTGTGTGTGTAGTGTGCATGTGTGTGTGTGTGTGTGTGTGTGTGTGTGTGTAGTGTGCATGTGTGTGTGTGGTGTGTGTGTGTGTAGTGTGCATGTGTGTGTGTGGTGTGTTTGAGACAAGGTCTTACGCCTGGAATTCTCTATGCAGGCCAAGGCTGGTCTATATAGAGAACTCACAGCAATCCCCCTGCCTCAGGTTTGAGCCACCTCACCCAGCCTCTATGTTTCTATGTTCAGAAATGTCCATGACAGTGCAAACAAAAGAATGAGATGATCTGGCCCAGCAGGAGAAATGACCCCCAAGTCCAGCCTTAGTGGCTCCTCTTTCTGGCACATCATTCCTACAGGTGTTCCCCATACCCACTTCATAGGAATATTTAAAAGAACTAGTTTTTGCCTCCATTTTTAGTGAGTTCATCTCCATTAAAAATTTTTCAGCAATTATCTTCAACATCTCCTCAAGCTAACATATGAAACATGCAACTTTTAACATGTCCTGCATCCCTAAATTCTAAGTCTACATTTTAAAACGCGCCTTTGCTCCCACCTGACCCTCCTTGGGCAGTACGGTCAATCCTTGACAACTCTTCACCTCAGAACTCTACCAACACCAAGTCCTGAAGGAAGACCCAAGGAGGAATGGCGTATGCTCTCTCCATGTCTTTGCTGAGTCTGGTGCCATAAACAAAGCAGGCCCCTCAAAAAAGAGTAAGCTAGCCCGGCGTTGGTGGCGCACGCCTTTAATCCCAGCACTCGGGAGGCAGAGCCAGGCGGATCTTTGTGAGTTCGAGGCCAGCCTGGGCTACCAAGTGAGTTCCAGGAAAGGCACAAAGCTACACAGAGAAACCCTGTCTCGGGGAAAAAAAAAAAAAAAAAGAGTAAGCTAAAAGTATTTTTAAATCAAAACTCCTCTCCATTCCAGTCACTAGCTTTACTTAATCCTACATTTTCTTCCCAGTGTGGTCCAACAACCTAAATCCCTATTTCAACATATCTACCATATAGTTACCAGCTTCCTTCCCAAACATATTACCACTCCCTTTGGAAGATGGCAAGATGGCTCAGTCATTAATGGCACTTGTTACCAACCCTGATGATCTAAGTTCAAATCCTGGAACCTACAAGATGGAGAAGAAAATCAACTCCCAAAAGCTATCTCCTGACCACCACACACACGTCCCCCTACACACACACACACACACACACATACACACGCATACACACACTAGTAAGTACAGATAGATGGATGGACCTTATTCCCACTGCACACATCTTATCTGACAAAATCCACAACCTTCATGATCTGACCCACCCCCTTTCACCACATTCCGCCATGGATCTTAAGGGGCTCTCAGGACAGCAAACACAGGCTGATTTCTTTACATGGGGAGCTACCACCTTCTCCATCACCCTTCCCTGCTCCCTTATCTAAGTAACTTCCACGCTTACCCAGTGACCTCTCCTCTGTGCTGCATTGAACATCACTTGTCACACAATATCATAATTATATACCATATCTGAAGAGTCTATTAAAAGTGATTCTGCAGCTGGAACTCTGGATCACTCAACTGACCCCGGCACACTGTTTGCAGGGTGCACCTAGGAACATGAGTTTGTTATGCTTACATACCCAAAGAATAAAATCTTTCAACTTCTTTTATTACTTCAGGAGGTGATAGAATTATTTCAGCAACGCTGAAATTTCTGGAACTACTCACTGGCCATTTGGAAACCCGCCTTTCAAGCTTGTTTACCCTCCAGAGATGGAAATCGGTCCCCTTACTTTATATGCAAGAAACATTTCCAACCAAAAATAGTAGTGGCAAACTTGGGCACTGCCATCCTCCACCCACCCTCCTTCATCATGTGGAATTGTTCCAAACTTCTGGCTCTTTCAAACAAGGAAGTCCCCCCTCAAAAGACAACTCACTATCTCTGACAGTGATTTCAAAGGGAAATACAAAGGGAGGTTGCCCATGGCAGCAGGACTGGGATAAGCAGAGCATCACCAAAGGCTCCCCTCTGATGCTGAAGACTTGAGAGTGCATGTTTAGGTGCAGGTTTCATTTTTCTTTAAATGTTTCCTTGCTTAATAAAATCATAAAGGGGTGGGGTTTTTTGGGCTTTCCAAATTATAAGAGGGGCTAAACCTTTTCATTAATTCTATGAATGCCAAGATAATTGGGAATTAAATACGACCACTGAATCACTTCCAAAAACATGAGATTCTGCTTTAATAACTTCACTAGAATATATTTTAAGGCAGAAAACCCTACCCAGAAACTGCACCACCCTTATCCAAAAAAAGGTTTAACCATCTGAAAGACTAACACTACGGAGAACCAGGTCCCTATTTTGCATAATTCTGTACATACCAGAGCCTGCTGAGTGCACTGCCCCATTCCAGTAAGGAAGATACAAGAAAAGGGGCACGGCCCCACCACCCGAGCTGTCAAAATTACAGGAGACAACATCTGTATTCTTGCAGCACCTGTCCCAGTAAACATCTGTATTCCACAGCACCCGTCCCAGGAAAGCAGTTTTACACGGATGACACCCACTATTACCCTCCCCAAGTGATAAGGAAGCAGGTAAGTATCTTTATCCTTAGACCATCCCCTCGGGAAGGGAGAATGATGCTCTTCCCCATCACTGGGCTGGGCAAACTGAGGAAGCAGCGAGCAAAGGGGTGGTCCCACATTCCTCCCTTCCTCTCACGCCAGCACCAAAGACTGCGCCCCGGATTCCTGTCATCCCACTTCCAAGCCGGCTGGTCCAGCGAGGAGAATCAAACTCCAGCTCCTTTCTGCAGAGACGCACACGGACCCAGACACCGCCCGGCCCTATCTCCCTGGAGCTGCAGGTGGAGGCACCGTAATGGTGGAAGCAAGGAGGTGGAGAGGCGAGGAGGAGCCCTCAGCATCCCCCCACCGTCCCGAATTGCTGCCAAGGCTAGCCGAGGCCGCAGGGCCGGGGACCCCTGACTCCCCCACCCACGATGGGTACCTTCGAGTACTCCTGAGCCAGCTTCTGGTACTTCCCCTGCAACTCTGCGGAGGCCATGGCCTCCCCCGCCCCGTCCAGGCCGGGCCGCCCGGGCTGCTGAGCCCCGCCCCCCGCCCCCGACCCCACACTTGCTCCTGGGCAGGGCTCAGCCAGCTTCTGCGGCTCGGCCGCCGCGCCTCCTCCTCCTCTTCGTCCTCCTCCTCCTCCTCCACTTCCGGGTTTCGGGGCGGGAGGAAGGCGGAGCGGGCCCGGGGGCGGGGCGGCCGCGGGGGGGGCGGGGCGACGGCGTCTTGACGTCACCGCCCCGCCCCCCGCGCCCCAGTTCACGCCTGGGCGGCCCGGCCGGCGGGGCTGGTGCTGGGCCGGGCGTTCGGCCCGTGGCCCGAGGCGCCATCTTGGGCCGGGCGTCAAGATGGCGGCCCGGCGCGGGGCGGGCCGGAGTCCCGAGGCGGAGAGAATGGGGGGCCGGCGGAACGGACGGACGGAACGTTCACGGGGAGCGACAGGGAGTGCGGGGAACGGAGAACCGGAAGGAGAGGCATTCTGAGAGCCGCAGGGGTTCTGGCTACCCTGTCCCGTGGTTCCCATGGCAACCGCCCAGCGTCAGCCGGCGGCCTCTTGGAAGAGCCTGCCTGGCCGCTGGTGCCCTGCTGCCTCCTCCGTCATCTGGACTTTACAGGGCTTGCTCTACACTGTCCAGTGCCAAGCCTCCCACCGGTTTATAACGTCGTGGGTGCTTTGACATTGAAATCCGCGTCCACGCGCTCCTCACAGGCCACGTGATCCCTCCTGACCCCCTTCTCCGCACATCAGAACCATTGTCCGTGGCCAAGAGGCCATCGGGAAACTTCCTAGAATGCCTGCCACGCCTTGAGACGTAAAGAACGTTAATGGTTTAAAAACGACTAAAATTAGATAGCTTGAGATACCTTTCGATGGAAAACTGCCGCCCATCCTTCCTTTAAATTTTTTTTTTTTACAGTTCTGTTAGGGATTAATGTAACCCTGTCGTATCTCTTAATAGAATAATATGAATGAATTAAAACAAAATATGTTTGCTGAGTTATAAAATGGCAGTTGAAGCTAATGGACTAAATTTGCACATATTTACATATGTATTCAAACATCAACATGGTAAGACACCGTGTTAAATGTAATAAGTAAACTGCACTGGATGTGGCTGTGCAAGCCTTTAATCCTAGTACTTAGAAGGCAGAGGCAGGTAGATCTAGTAAGTTCCAGGCCAGCCTAGGCTACAAAGACTGTCTTTAAAAAAAAAAGTTTAAATTGCCATATAATATAAATGTATTTTTAAAATATGATGTAGAAATAGCCAGACATATGTGGCCATGCTTGCAGTCGCAGCACTTGGGAGGCTGAGGCAGGAAGACGTCAAGTTTGAGGGCAGTCTGGGCTACATAGTGAGTTCCAGTCCAACCTGGGCTATACAGCAAGATTCTATTTAAAAAGTGTGTGTGTGTGTGTGTGTGTGTGTGTGTGTGTGTGTGTGTGTGTGTAGCCTGCATGAAGCAACATTTTGCATTAACATTTTGTATTCTGTCTTTTTTTTTTTTCCCACATCCCTTTGTATTATTCTTAAACACAAAACATGTAAGAATACAGAGACAGGAACTGGACGGCTGCACGGAAAGCTGGTTAGTGCTTGCCTCTAGTGAGAAAAGAAGGAGGTGAAACGTCGGGAGGGAGGACCATCAGCTTTATTAGAATAAATATTATTACATTTATTATAGAGGAATTACGTCTAGGACTGCTAGGTCAGCCCTTTAGACTATTTAGACTATATCTAAAATGAAAGCTTCACTAGCCTAATTTCCCTTTTTATCTGTGAGCAAACCGGGAATCGGACAGCAGAGCTCAGCCTGTACCCATTCTCTGTAGGAAAACTAGAAGAGGTGTGTATTTTTGGTTTGCTAATAAACAAATACTGCCCTCCAAACTGTCAGGATAGTAAGAGTGGTGTTAGTTTCCTGTGGCGCCACCAAGTGGCAGAATCAAATATTGTAATATATTTCCATGCTTTGTCAAGGAATGGAATTTTTTTTTATTGTTTTAAAAATGTCATTCCAGAAATAGCATTCCAAAGAAAGAATGTGCAACTTTAGCCAGAGAGCCTGTGTAAATTCATGTTACTGACTTTAGAAATGTATTTTCACTGGCTGGCTTTGGTCAGACACACTGTTTTAAAGCTCTAGTTGGTAAATACGAATAAATTAAGGCTCTCATTCTCAGCTGATATTAAAGAAAAAGGCAAGCCACAAAGGGGAAGAAGTTAACTGTAGCATATGTACCCAACAGCAGGCTCTTGTCCAAATATATAAAGAGGTCCTGCAAATCAATTTTTTTTAAAAAAAAGCCATATCTACTTGTTTTACTGTTTCAAAGGATGTCTGAGGCATGGGGAATAATCAGTGGCCAAGTGGACTTTAAGAACCCATGAAGTGGGGAGAAACTCTAGATCACGGTGAAGATTGAAGAGTGGCTGGAGAATGCTCCTCTTTAAAATGCAGTGTCAGCCTGTCAGATGGCCCAGAGTGCTTGCCGTAAAGCCGGGTGACTGGTTGGAATCCTGGGACACACGTGGTAGGAGAGGGCTGACTCCTGAAAGTTGTCCTTGGACTTCTGCACATAAGCTATGGCACATGCGCGAGAGCACACACAACACAGAATTTAAAAGACATAAAATGCAATACCATTCATTCTGTCAGTGGTTATCAACCCTAATAAGGAAAAGGCAGCGCATTAATATCTCACATCTTTAAAATACATAGAAATGGAGCAAAAGTTGGCTGTTGCTGCTTACAGCTGACTCTGATGTGTTATGGTCTTGGTCAGTACTCATTATCCATAGATTGCATCTGCAAATTTGCATAAAATGTGTGTAACTCAAATACAAGCCTCACTGGGGCATCTGCAAGCATGCACAGAGTAGCCAAAGATCTAAGTAACAGAAAACCCGTGTTCCCAGCTGATGAGGACTACACTATTTTGTTGAAAATCTTGCTCTTTCAGTGGCCCCATGCATAATGATGAAGCTCTGTCTACCCCTAGACAGTGTTCCTAAGTGCAAGAAGATAGAAGTGTATGACAAGCATCGTTTAGGCCTAGGTCCTGGATGCTATTGCTTGACGTGGTGATTCATGCCTTTAATCCCAGCATTTAGGAGGCTGAGGTGGGAGGATTTCTGTGAGTTTGAGGCAAGCCTGGTCTACACAGTGAGTTCCAGGAGAGCCAGGACTACATAGAGAGACCCTGTCTCAAAAAAAAAAACAAAAACAAAAAAAAAAACAGAGTTCTGCTGATAGCTGGTTTGATATTAATGAAGCAAAAATACATATCAAATAATGTGTCTTTAAAACAAAGCACACTTGCCAGGCGGTAGTGGCGCATACCTTTAATCCCAGCACTCAGGAGGCAGAGGCAGGTGGATCTCTGTGAGTTCAAGGCCAGCCTGGGCTACCAAGTGAGTTCCGGGAAAGGCACAAAGCTACACAGAGAAACCCTGTCTTGAAAAACCAAAAAACAAACAAACAAAAAAGCACACTTGAAATGTGGTTATGTGTGGAATGGTTGAGGAAAATGACCAGACACTCTAAAGATCCTCCATATTTTCCACAGAAGTAATGCTATTTGCTAATTAATGTTTACAGCAATTTATAGAATGTATCTATTGTATGTACTGAGATTCAACTGAGTATAGATTGAAGATGTTGTAGAACATCCCTTGACCGTATGGACAAGCACTTATACCATTGGTTTGTTGACAATATGAGAAATACTGTGAGCCTCTGGCAGAATGTTATTTCGTGGGAGACTGGAATCCACCTGTGTTGTCTTAGCTGTGGGAAGATTCCCTTGTTTGCCCAGGTCTGAAAAGCAAGAGCTTCATTCAGACTTCGCCCCTCGCCCTCCAGAGCAGACATTCAGAACTGAGCAGGGAAAGACTGAGGAACAGCTGGTGGGCCTTTTGTTGTATAGCACATTCTCCTTGCCTAGTGTTTGTTTCTGAGACAGTGTCTCACTATGTAGCCCAGGTTAGCCTTGAGCTCAGAATGTTCCTGCCTCAGCTTCTCAATGCCCTATGTTCAAACCCTAGTACTGCAACATAAAATAAATGATATACATATACAATCCATTCATCCATTAATGAGGATCTGGCTTGTTTCCACTTAGGGATGTTATAAATGATTCTCCTGTGAACACAGATGCACAAATATCGGTTCAAATCTCTGTTTCCACTCTGTTGAGGGCATACCCAGAAATGGAGTTTCTGGATCATCTGGTAACTGTATGTTTCAGCTTTTATGAACCCACCCTCCTGTTTGCCACAGTATTTTCCGGTGGGTCGCACAAAGCTTTTATTCTACGTTTCTTGTCCAATTTGTCCTAATTATTAAAAAGCAGTGTCTCATTCTGGCCTTTTTTTTTTTTTTTTTCCAGTTTTTCGAGACAGGGTTTCTCTGTGTAGTTTTGTGCCTTTCCTGGAACTCACTGTGTAGCCCAGGCTGGCCTCGAACTCACAGAGATCCGCCTGGCTCTGCCTCCCGAGTGCTGGGATTAAAGGCGGGCGCCACCACCGCTGGCTTCATTCTGGCCTTAGTTTGCCTTTCTCCAATGGTTCATCCCTAAGCGCCTTTTCCTGTGCTTGCTGCTGTCTTTGGTTTGTTATTTCCTCGCCTCCGCACGAGCTGCTTTTGCTTCTTGCTTTCTGCCTGTGCGGCAGGACTCAGGTCTTTGTCTCTGTTCAGCCCCCTGAAGTCAGGCTTGTCTGGCCTTCCCGCACAGCTCCATCATGAGAACCAACCCTGAGGTCCCATTGGAGGCCACCGTCGCACAGCAGGCCTCTGTCTCTGCGTCTGTCCTGCCTCTCTCCAGGCTGCCCCCTTCTCCTTGTAGCTGCATGGAGTAAAAGTGGATTCCTATTCCCATAAGAAAAACCCCTAACTCCTGAGCCCCTCGGCACTCTCCTGCACTGGGCCTCAGTAGTTCTGGGTTCAGTCTGCTCCCCTGGCACCTCTGCGTCCTGGTGAGCATCCTTTCTCCTTCTGGCAATACCTTCCCCGGTCCCCACCACCTCCACATCAGTCCATCCTAACATGCCGTGTTCAGTCCTGTGCCGCAGGGAAACAGC